CAGGCCTTCCAAAGACCCATTGGATGTAGCTGATTAAAAATAAAATGGACAAAAAAAAATAAAGAACAAATCAGGAAATCAATACGATTTCATGAACATGAAATGTCTGTAAACAATTTGAAAAATAAGACTTCAATAATTGTCACAAGTTCTCTGAATGTATGGGATGCTGAAAGCTGAAAAGAAGTAGAAAAATAAATAAAGAGAAATGGATCTTGGAAACCTTGTGACATGTAGGCTACCTGCTTCTAAGTACAATAAACACACCCTCCCATTATACACATGATTTAGTATTACTCTATAGGTAAAAGGGACAGCACCTTCCAAAATACCCACCAACTCCTAGGAGGGCCAAACAAGAAAGAGCAAAAGAGCAAACATAACGGTTTTCAAAACTTGTTAATCATCTCCCAACACCTGCTTCCTCCACTCCACACCTCCTGATTAAAGAACAATGAACTGGATGCTATGCTTGTCAAACCTCCAAGTTCTGTAAACACTATCAAGGGAGCCTTCTGAAACCCCCTTGCTCCTTCCTCCAGCCAGGGATGTGCTGAAGTAGCATACTAGAACTCAAGTCTTCTGAGCTGCCTTCTCATCACTGTGTAAGTCCCTGCAAGCATGTGTTTTTATCAACCCCCATCAGCCGCTTCAGCCAAGTTTCCTGCTAGGGAAAACTCCAGCTCCACAGAGAATTGGGACAACATGGATATAACCAGGTAGGGGCAACCATCTTGCCCCACATTGGCCAGCTGGGCTCCTTTTCCACTTTATCAATGAGGGGCAAGAGGGAGCACAACCCTTCTACCAATATATTTCTGCCTGTCTAAGCTGTTCTGTCTACAGATATTGCTGTTTATCCTGAGGCCAGTGAATTCTCTAAATGGCTTTGTAATTAAAGCTGCAAAGTATGGATGCATCGTGTCAGTCTCCTGCCATTTCGCTCACTGTGTATGTATACTATGCATGTATGCTCCAATGTTTCTCACTCCCTGCAGTGTCATGTGTGTGCTTTGCATATTTGTACAGTGTAGTCGCTATTATTAGCTATGCACACTCTCTTTGCTACTCCTGTACATACACCATGCATTTCTGCATGCTCTCTTTACAGTGCATACATGGCTGGGGAAACATGGCTATACAATGACAGTAGTGATCTATGTTTTTTGGCCCTGCCTTGGGTTTTTTGGCCCTGACATTTGCTGGTGTATAAAGTGTTCTAAGCCATACTGTCTGGGTTTTCCCTCAGCAGTGAAAA